ATGTGGGTCCTTACAAGGTTTTGGAACAGTGTGACCTAGTTGCTTATCATCTCCAGCTTCCCGATATTTTATCGGTGGTACACGATGTGTTTCACGTATCACAGTTGAAGAAATGTTTGCAGGTCCCTGATGAAGCTATGGAAATTGAAGGAATTCCCCTCCAGCCTGATTTGACTTATATTGAGCACCCTGTCAAAATCCTGGACGAAAAGGAAAGAGTGACAAGGAACAATGTGGTAAAGTTCTACAAGGTGCAGTGCCAAAACCACTCAGAGGATGAAGCCATATGGGAACAAGAGAGCTATATATTGAAGCATTACCCCCACCTTCTCTCTAGTCTAGATAGGTAGTTGTTTACGTTGAAATGTAATTCTTATCTCTTTTCCCACACAAGACACATGAAATCTCGGGTCGAGATTTTGTTTTAGGGGCGTAGATTTGTAACACCCTTGGTGTTACACTGTATAGTATTTTGCTAAAACACTGCATGCACATCATATTTATGTGTAAATGTGTGTAATATAGGGTGTAAAGCAATGTACATAACTTGAAACGATCATCGAAAACACGAAATGAAAGATACATTCAATGTCGCATTATATCACTTAGGGTTTTAAATGAATTTTTAATGAACGAAAATACTATAGAATGCATATACGACACTTTAATAAAGTTTGTAGTATAAGCTTCATAGGTGACGATGAAATACTTGAGGTCGCGAAAGGAATTCACTAGCTAGCATATCGAATAGCTTGGAAATTGAATTCGACGTGAATTCAATCGAGACTTAGTCGAATTTCCTAAGTCGGGAAGCGGTTTGACAAGGCCAAGTTTGGCAATTTTTGTAGGCGAATTGGATTAAGTAGTGGTAGGGTTTCATGGCTAGTTTTGATAGCCTAACATGCCTTCTTGAGTATGAAATAGGTGGTTTAGCAATTGAAGCATTGAGTTGGATTTTTGGGACGCTTTAAAAAGCGTGCATGACACGTTTTTGGACGGTTGCAGCGTCTGGGCGCGGTCACCATGCCTCAGCCGGCGTCGCCGCTCGCCCACACGTGCACCTATGCGCACCGCCGTGCGGGCTTCGCACCACCGCTGCCACGCACACGCTCTCGCACGCACTCACGCTCACGCCACACTCGGCGGGATGCTGGGGCCTAGGGAGCCTGGCCGCTCTGCCACCTCCATCGCGTCCACCTGAGCCACTCTACCACCTCCTGCTCGCCTACATGGGACCATGTGCGCGTGGCCGTCCTCGGTCTGGCCACAGCTGGCCTGTGGCTTGGCTAGTCCGGGCTACTATCATGCGGTGCCGCTGATGCTCGCCGTCGTGTCGTGCTGCGTCCCCGGTCATGCCGCGCTCCGACCGCCGCTATCGCACGGCCTCTGCTACTGCTGATCCTTCATGGCTACATGCGCGTGGGCTTGCCCTGCCTGCCTGTGCCATCACATCTGCGCTGGATGCGACGCTGCGCTACTGCCTCTCCCAGACCGGCGCCAGCCAGTACGGCGCACAGGGCCGAGCCGCCGTCGGTTTGCGATTTATGTCCATGCGGCCAACCATTCCTGAGCATGTTTCACTGACCCCCATCACCTGTAGCACATGCGTGCTTGTGCTATGAGTTGGCAGTCGCGTCCCGCCATGGCAGCGACAAGCCAAGCCATGCTGGCTCTTCCCCTGTTCCGCTGCCGCCATGGTCGCCAGACCCGTGCCTTCAATTCGGCTTGGTGGAGTCACCTCGGTTCAATGCTGGCTCTATAGTTGTGATAACCACATGTGTTGACAACCATATCCAAAGTTTGTTCCTTTTCACGGAACCTTTTATTTTTAATACGTATTTCTTTGATACATTAGATTAAACTGTGGTGGCTGTTGTTGCAGCTCATGTCTTATCACGTCATGAATCTAAGTTTAACTGCTACTTATTTTATATTCTCAAGTTGAATCAAAACTCTTGTGCTTATTGTATATTTTATTCACTCTCATTTGCAATTTTAAAAATAAGGATATGTTAGGCCATAAACTACACATATGTGCAATAATGCTTATATAATCATTATAGACATATAGAACGTTTTAGTTAGAATGTATAAATGTCTAGATAAAAAAGTTCTATAAATTATATGTCATGTCATTAATGTAATTTTAAATAACTTGTTAGTATCATTAGTAAATGAGTCATTAATAAAATATTTTCATGATTACTAAAAACATAATATATAGTTATTTTATACATGTATGTGTATTTGATGTACATGATGGTACAATAGATATATTTACTTTAACAAATTTTAATATATTAATATTAACAGAATTGCGTATTATATAATTAATTTTAAGCTAAAACTCTAGTTCTTATTGTATCTTTTATTCAAATTTATGTTTCTTATTTTATTGAAAAATTTTGGGTCCAATGCCACCCGTTAATTTTGACAACGGCATAAATGGTCTTTTAAGCCTGCACCACCACACTTAAGATGTTGGATTTTGTTATATCAAAACATTATGAGTAGTTTTATTATTTTTTTTATAATATAGACTAGCTAAATTTAAATTATGAATATTAGTATATTAGTCAAAATGTATAAAATTATTTAAAACAATGACTTAAAACTTTATTATTGTAGAGTATCAATGTAACTTTAAGTGAATTATCATTGTCATTGCTATCTATTATTAAGGGAACATTTCATAAGTTAATAAACTAAATATTTAACTTAATGTATATATTACTTTATGAATATTGGATGACATTTCATAATATATATATTATTTATTAATTACATGAGCATTTGAGATACATTTTCATTTACTTTTTTTATAATGTCTTGAGGTTGATAATTTACTTTATATTACCTTTCATAATGGCGTATACGATAATTTGAATGCAAACTTAGCAGTTATTTTGCATTATCTTTCGTAAAAGTAGATGCTAGTAATATACAAAATATTAGAAGATTATTTCAAATTATTTTTCATGATGACTGAGATGAATAGTTTATGTATAAATTTACAGGGTTACTTTGAATTGTCATTCATAATTACAGATGTGGTTGATTTAGATGCATATTTAAGAATTATGTTGAATTATCTTCAACCGAACAATGACAACAACAGAACAAATTCCAAACAAATGGTTTATTATTTCCATGCGGTGGAAAAAAAAAATCTCCTTTTTTTAGACTGTCAGACCCCTTTTACCGGCAGTCCAGCGCAAGTGTATCTTTTTTGTTGGGGTTGATATTAATAGACAAACTTTATTTCTATTTGATTTTTTATCAAAAGATTAACCAATCCCGAACATCATGGGCTGATATCCTATTAATACATATACATATAATTTATTAATGAGTTATATTAACCAACCTTTACGTGATCGGTAGTACATATTAGTTATTTTATCAATCAAGAGCCGTGGGCGATGATAATTTAGGCTAACCGTTAACGTAAGGACTAATATTTTATAATATATTAACTCACTTTTAACGTGATCATAGTACCTATTATATTAGATATTTTATTAACCAACAGCCAAACAATATTTGATATTTTAGGCTATTTTCTATTTGTAACAATGGAGGTGAGTATTTTTTAAAAAAGAAAATAGATCTAATGGTTATGGATATTTAGAGTCTTCTGATTAATGGTAAGATGTTTCTGATTAATGTGAGAATTTCTAGCATTTATCTTTTTTTCCTAGCGCGTCTGTGAGATTAAACGTGGAGTCTCCATTGAGCCCTCTAGTTAGTAATAGTAAGATTTCACGGCATTTTTTGAATGTGTTTGGCTCCATGACCTACACATTCAATGGGAAATCTCTCATCAAAATACATTACTTAACATCATGAATTTTAGAACCTCTCACCATCAAATGACCAAAAACTCCTTCCGTTCCAGAATAGTAGATGTTTTATGATTGTGCACGGCTATCAATGTTGTAGGTAAAAGACCAAAATACCCTCATGATAAGGAGAGAGATAGATCAAGAGAATTAGCGGCAGGATGTATTTAAAAAGAAAGAAAGGTGTACTTGAAGAAAAGAAAGGTGTATTGGAAGGAGAGAAGATGAAGTATTTTGGGAGTATTCCGGAGCTAAGGTCGTGTTTAGTTGGGGAGGTGAAAATTTTTGGGTGTCACATCGAATATGTCGGAAGGATGTCGGGAGAGGTTTTTGATACTAATAAAAAAACAAATTACAGAACTCATCAGAAAACTGCGAGACGAATCTAATGATACTAATTAATCTGTCATTAGCACATGTGGGATATTGTAGCACTTAAGGCTTTTCATGGACTAATTAGACTTAAAAGATTCGTCTCGCAATTTTGCTGAGTACTATGCAATTAGTTTTTTTTCGTCTGCATTTAGTACTTCATGCATGTGTCAAACATACTTTTTTACTGTAGGAGAAAAAATTTTGGAAACTAAACCAGGGCCTTGTTTAGATTGAAAAAAATTTCAAACCGATGAATAGTAACACTTTCGTCTTATTTGGTAAATATTGTCCAATCATGGACCAACTAAGCTCAAAAGATTCATCTTTTTCCAACTAAAGTGCAATTAGTTATTTTTTACCTACATTTAATGCTAAAAACAGGCGATGTGATGGAAAGAACTCGTTTTGAGGGTATTAAACAAGTCCCAGGCAATTCCCCGTCCCAGTCCCAGCATAGCATACCCCACCGAGCCTGAGGAGACTGGAGAGGATCCAGATCTCAGTAGGCCATTGTCAGGACAGCGAGATAAAAGAGAGTGAGGACTGACGAGACACGGCCTCTCAAGCAGAACTGCAGAGATGAGAACGGTCAGAGGGACTCCAGCAGACGAGACGAGAGAGTGAGCATGTGACCCTCTCTGTCTCTTCCTCTTCCCTTCTCGTCTTCTGCAAGAAGCCACAACAACACCAAACAGCAGAAGAGAGTGAGCATGTGAGCCTCTCTGTTTCTCTCATTCCCTTCATCACCCTGCTGGTTTCCCTCTTCCACCTCTGGCCTTGGCCATGGCGTCCAGCGCCTCCCGGTTCATCAAGTGCGTCACAGTGGGGGACGGCGCCGTGGGAAAGACCTGCATGCTCATCTGCTACACGAGCAACAAGTTCCCCACTGTAATGCTAAGGCGTCCTCTCTTCTTCCATGTCTATATATGTTCAACATCCACTTATTGTAGTAGAGATTCGGGATCTTCTTGGATTTTTTGGGATTTTCTTGGGGATTCTCTTGGGAAACTCGTTATGATAACTAGCCTGGAATTATTACAAATTTTGCAACTTCACTTCATTTTCGCTTGTGTTTTACATTTTGCAGGATTACATACCCACTGTCTTCGATAACTTCAGTGCAAACGTGGTAGTCGACGGTACCACGGTGAATTTGGGCCTTTGGGATACTGCAGGTACTTTCAAACTTACTTTTTTGTTAATGAACTTGCAGAGCTTGTACAGTTTTACTTAGATTTGCAGTTGGTGATCTTGATAATTTGGACATGAACTGTTTGCAGGGCAGGAAGATTACAACAGATTGAGGCCACTGAGCTACCGCGGAGCAGATGTGTTCGTGCTCGCCTTCTCGCTTGTCAGCCGAGCTAGCTACGAAAATGTTATGAAGAAGGTGCATTTCTCATTTTTGATTAACTGGTTCAAGAATTCAATTGCGGTTTCCGTTTTCAACTAATCTTGTTACGGATGACACAATTTTCCGAGTTTCAGTTTCTTGTACTAATGTCCTTGTTTTTCATTCAGTGGCTACCGGAGCTTCAGCATTATGCACCGGGTGTCCCCATAGTGTTGGCCGGAACTAAATTGGGTGAGTTGTGTGACAACGATATGTTTCCATTTTATATTTGTGTGAAATAATGGGACTACTGAGGTGTACATTCTGTCTAGAAGACTACCTTGACAACTTGTTGGTGACCCTAGTGGTGGTTAGGACATATTTGTCATTGCATTGCTGGGATTGTGTTAGCTTTTAGTTTGCCAAGGAACCATTTGTAGTTTGGAGGGACTAGATTGTATTAAATTAGTTTTCTCTTTGTATATGTTTAATAGATAATACTTTGTGAGCATAGGGGCAGCTGCCCCACCAATTGATATGGCTCAGTCTCAGCCATTATATCAGCACCGGGTGCCTAACATAGAGCTACATCACCCTCAGCCCTCCGGTTACATCGCTCAATCTCAGCGCTGAGCCCTCCAGTGCTAATCTGATGGCTGAGGTTGAGCTATGTCCGTGGGTGGGCAGCTGCCCCTATGCTCACTAAATCCACTCTCATGTTTGAATGCATCAAAGCATTAAGTATAAATGAGGTTCATGCATGGAGCATGGTTAGACAAGTGGTTCATGGAAGGTTCACATTGAGCCTTGATTCTATTCTCTAATAGAGTTTCTGAATGCTTAACAAAGCTGTCTATCCTGAATCCATCATTCCGAAGCACAACTAATTTATCTTCAACCACAATTTGTTAAAAAAGGATGTTATTTTGATTCAATACCATCATACTACTTTGTCATCTATCGTTTTTGTCCATGTTATTTCCCAAAGATAATTGGTTGTTATCAATCATTTTGCCCCATTATATAGTTCAAATACTTTCAATTTTTTAAATGTGTATAGTTCTAGCATTTTACATTAAATTAACTGCTGAAAAGAACGCTTTTGTAGAGTTCGTAAAGAGTCCCAAGGGATCCTCCACTGAGTTTATGTGATCAACTTAAAACCTTCCTTCTCAATAAGTGATAATGAATTGTATTAGTTGTAGTCTCAGGTTCAAATAGAAGAAACTGGAGTTGAAAAATAGAAACATTATTCTGCCTCTACGATTTTTTGTATCACCTGGAAATGCCAGGCATCCTTTTCGTCTAATTGAAGTTTCTTTGTCATGTTTGCTTGTCTGGTTCTCATTTCTTTATTATGTTGTTAGTGTAGGCTTTCTTATATTTCAACTTGTTCTTAAGAAGTTAGCATCTTACACACAGTTGTATTATTTGCAAAAGAGGATTCTTGATTAAAAGATTGAGTTTTGTTTGAGTGGATTATAACTTTTTGTGAAAGAAGTTAGTATCTTACACAAAGGAATATATTGTGTACAGATCTTCGTGAAGACAAGCACTACTTACTTGACCATCCTGGCGCGGTACCTGTTACTACAGCACAGGTCTTATTCCTTGTTCCCATGCTAACTGCTGAGGACTGGAGAATTGCAGCAGCTGAACTTTGTCATAATTTTAGCAATTTTGAGATACAAATACCTCTCATCAGTATCTTATAGTTTTGCCCTTTCCTTTCTGCCTCACCTTGCAGGGGGAGGAACTTCGCAAGCACATTGGCGCAACTTGTTACATCGAGTGCAGCTCAAAAACTCAGCAGGTCAGTTGCTCTGGTTCAATTCCTGTGCAACTCTTTTGGGGTCTCTGGGGGCTTAAGTATTTATCCCTGCTGTGCTGTGGTCCATCTGTTAACCTCAGACTATGTTTCTGATACGTACATAGAATGTGAAAGCTGTGTTTGATGCTGCCATCAAGGTAGTAATCAGGCCTCCAACGAAGCAGCGAGAAAGGAAGAAAAAGAAAGCACGGCGAGGATGTTCAATATTGTGAGTAACTTCTTGATAGATGTTTTATCTGATATTAGTGTTCTCTCTGAAAATAATTTGCGAAGATAAAGCTTTCTTTGGTTTCCCAGTAGGACTTACTTTGACCTAACAACATGTGAAGCTATGAAGCTTTTATGTTAAGCTGGAATTGGGGCATTAGAATGGTGCCTTGTAGACCACTACTAAAGTTAGGAAGTCCTTTTTTGCTCCTCATGTCTATGTACTCATTTTCTTGTCCAAAGGTGAAAAGTTGCTTCAGATAATCAGTAGTACATCAATTTATGATCGCTTGGAAAATCATACTCAAATTCTCTGAACTATGTTCCATCGCAATAACAGTGCACACACCATCTCTTTGGATTTCAGTTTATAGATTGTAAATGTAGAGTAAACTTTTCTTTTCTTTGTTGCAGTTGCAGCCGTGTCATGCACACAAGGAGACTAGGATGCTTCTAAGTGATCGGAGGCCTTCTTCGACGATCACGTAGGTTTCTAAGATGATTCGAGATCATGTGTAGCTTGTCTCCAAGTTTCGAAGTGCTTGTTGCGCTTGCGCACTTGTGCTGGTAATGTGTATATTTAGTCTTTACCAATTGACTTTTAGGAGATATATTAAGTACTTTGTTTATGTACCATTGGCTCATAATGAGCTAGGAAGTTCAATACATACTAAGAAGTAACAATATTTTTTCTGATGATTTTCTTTTAGTTTCTCACAAAATTATGTTATCTTCTCTGTCCCACGGTAGGACTAGCATGTCTCTCTGCCATGCCCCATGGTATGCCCGCCTTCCAAGCGAAGTGTCCACCAACCACCCTGAATTATCCACCTTGTGTCTTTCGAACTATTCGGCCTCGATCCGTTAATCACAGATAAATCATCAACGATCTGCTTTGCACCTCGATCTTGTTAGCCTGCACCTAACTACGTCGCACTTTTTTTTCTTCAAGAACACGACTTTACGTGTATTTCGTTAAGAAGAATGAGATCCGAAAGAACGGCTTATACAATGCAGCTACGGGTGAACCTATAGTGCAGGTTGCAGACACACGAGGAAGTGGTTAGGAACCTAAGCGACAAAAAGACAGAAAGGCAGTAGGGATAAGTTCTCCATCACAAACCTAATCTACTGCGACAAGGCATTCGTCAAAGACAAGTGACAACGACAAAGTATCCGCTGCGAAGGACCAGGCGACATCGGAACACCAAGCAAGCTGGACAGACCATTGTGAAGAGGAGCTTGAAGCACACACAGACAAAGGAAGGAGCAACTCCTACGAGAGTAGCGGGAGATGGGCTGCAGAGGTGGTCCAACGATGCCTTCAGGAAGGACATTGACATCCGCAGACGCCAACAACGCAGGTATAAGCACACGAGTTGGTCTTTCGACTCTAGCCTACCCTCGACAGACAGAAACTTTGACGACGCCTTCAAGAAAGTAGATGCGCAGCCTATGCCACCGCCGCCGGTCCGGAGCGCCCTTTTGAGCACCAACTGAAAAACACTATTGTCGAACTCTCATCTAACATGTACACCATAACCGTGTATAGCCCCACTTGCCACCAACTAGCACCGTAACAGCGGCCCGAGGTCACGTCACAAACGCTACTTCTCCTCTCTTCTCGTGTTGCTAATTTTTCATCAGCATTTACAACGTCCTATTTCCCCCTTCGATGTGTGCATAACCCTACCACAACTCTTGCGACCACACTGTGCTGTCTTATAATGTTGATCCAGTCGACAAGTCTTGACGATCACCAGATTGTTCACCCTCAACGCACTGCTTTGGATTCATTGAGGAACCCACTAATCATAAGGCGGATTATGTCTAGGGCCGCTATAGGCATGGGGAAAAAAACCCACGTACACGGTTTGTTTTTTTAGGGACAGTTTAGTTTTTTTTTGCCCAACCCACAATGGTCCTTATCGTTCCATCCACCCATCAAAGGCCGAGCGCCGGCCCAGGAAAATAACTCCCAACGGACTTCTCAGTCCCCCATCGGCCCTATCGCCCGTGGATCATCGCCCTACGCGATGCGTATGCATCATGACAGGACACGGTGACTGCAGACAAGAGTCGCTGTGCACAACTGCTGAGGATCTCGTTTTCTCAAAAAAAAAAAACTGCTGAGGATCTCGTTCCCACAAGACCTCCTCACCCAGTTGTCCATGTGTGCGGTGTGCGAGCGAGCAGTGAGCAGGCCGTGGCAGCAGCGCCACAGCTGATTCGCTGAGGACGCGGAAGAAGGGTGGGCGCGGCATGGGCGAATCAAGGCAAGATGTGGAGGCGTGGGTCTGGTGGGGGGGGTGGGGGGCTGAGCCTAGGTGTAAAAAATTGATGAGCTTTCGTCACTGGTATCATCTCCTCGCTAACCTGTTATGTATTGCTCCACAAGCAATTGTATGTCCAGCGTATGCTAACCCTTTAGGGAAGAGACGGTCTATAGCAGCGGCCATTAGGCTCCAATAAACCAGCTGCCTCTATAAATGTATTTTCATATACGGCTGGTATTACTGGAACCGAGAAGAAAAGAATGGAGCATCAGGCTACCTCCTAAAATTTGCAAACCTAAAGGGAGAAGGTGTTGATATTAACTCATTTGGTGGAGGAGATTCTGAAAGGTAATAAATGCTATTACAAACTTCTTTTTTGAAGTTTCAGTGGTAAATTAGTGCTTAATTAGGGTTTTGATTTTCTCTCTCTTGTACGATGGTTGAGGCATTTATGGAATGAAATTAGATCAAATCTTTGAAGGTACTAGAATAAATTTAGTAGGGGAATAATATTCTATCCTTATTTAGTCGCCATGTCTTGATTTTAATGGTGTATTATTTAGTTTTTAAGTAGGGATTAGATTTGGATTTAGATCTAGAATTGGGATTAGGATTATTTTTATTATCAACATTCATATTATTTTGTTTTAAAAATAGGATTAAGTTTGCATCAACAATAATCGGTACAATATTAATTGGTGTGAATTATTTCTTTTAAAATGTTCATTATAATTAAGAAGTAAAAACTAATTAATTGTTTCATTAGAGGCTAATTGAATATACAAATGTAATAGCTATGTATGTCTTTTGGACAATGAATTGTTTTTTAAGTGTGAATGGTCTGCCACTGTTATATTGTTACATACTAATATTCTTGTTATTGTTACTTTATACTCTCTCTGTTCCAAATTATAAGCCATTCCAAGAATCTTGAAGAGTCAAAACATCTCAAGTTTGACCAAAATTATAGAGAGAATTATAAATATTTATGGCATCAAATAGATATACTATGAAAATATAATTAATGAAGAATCTAATGATACTTAGTTTGTATCATAAATGTTTTTACATTATCATATAAATTTGGTCAAAGTTGAGATTCTTTGAATCTACAAGAAAGTTGAAATGACTTATAATTTGGGACTGAGGGAGTATCAATTAATCTTTTTTACTTTGAACATTGTCGAAAAAGATGGACTATAGAAACTCACGGATGTATGATTTATTATGGTAAAATCAGGTTTCCACGCTGAGGTGGATAGATTTATTAAAGCAGCAGAGAAGTGTGCAATGACCTAGAAAAAAACAAGATTTGTTGTCCATATTGCGACTGCAAGAATCTTCTGGCATAAAAAGATGTGACTGTCTTTATATTACACTGCTCATGCGAGGTTTGTGAAGGACTACACAGTTGGATCCATCACAGTGAAACGATTGTTAACGCTAAGCCAGAAGAACATATGGATGCCCACAATTACACGGACGCATGTATAGTTGAAATGCTGAAATGGGTGGCCGCGGACAAGGTGGTGTTGGTGGAAATGACAGTGGATGTGTCAAGGACGAAGCTGATGGTGATTATTTGGAGAAAATGCTTTGGAACATTGGACCAGAGGTGCTACTCAAGAGCATGAAAGGTCATCAAAATTTGGAAATGGTAAAAAGGATAGCCAGGGAGACTTTGTATGGTATTGAGAAGGTTTATTCGACATGTTGGATGGTGCTGCGTTTTGTGCTTGAGCTATGTAGGAACCGTGATGCCTAAGAAGGGGGGTTGAATTTGGATTTCTAAAAACTAATGGCCTCTAATTCTACTTATCAAAACCTATGCAAGATTTCTGTAACACCCTCGGTGTTGCATTCTACAGTTTTGCTAAAACACTGCATGAACATCATAATGGTGTGTGAATGTGTGTAATATAGGGTATAAAGTAATGTACATAACTTGAAACGTTCGTCGGTAACACGAAACAAATGCTACATTTCTTGTCGCTTTATATCGTTTAGGGTTCTAAGTGAATTTTTATCGAACAAAAATGCTATAGAACGCTTATGCGAAACTTTGATAAGGTTCATAGTACGAACTTCGTAGGCGACGATAAAATACGTGCGGTCGAGGTCGGGGTTCGCTAGCTAGTGTATCAAGTAGCTTGGAAAAGGAATGCGACGTGAAACCGTTTGAAGTTTAGTCATTTCGCGGTAAGTCTGAAAATGGGTCGACGAAGCCATGTTCGACAATTTTTGTAGGATGATCGGGTTAAGAAGTGGCGAGGTGTGTTGGCTTAGTTTGATAGCCCTATGTACCTGCTTGAGGATAGAATGATTGGTTTGGCTTTCGGGTCATCGAATTGGTGATTGTAGCAGCTTTAAAAAGCGTGCACGGCACGTTTTCCACCCCCCGGCGCGGTCACCACCTCGGTTCGGCTTGGCATTGCCGCGCTGGCCTACCCAGCGTGCTGCCGCGCCGGCCGCGTCGCCACTGCCGCACTTGTGCAAGCACGCCCGCGCACGTGGCCCCTGCACTGCTGGCCACGGCTTCCTGCCGCCACGCTCTGGCGCAGCTCGTGCACACCACACGCGCCCAGTCGCGCTGCCCGCCCATCGTCGCCGCGCGCTAGCCGTTCGGCCATCACTGCTGCCCGGTCCACACCGCTATTGCGCGCCTGCCTCGCGACTCGCGTACACACGCGCGCACCGGGGTCCAGCGGGCCTAGATGCTCTGCCTCCTCCATCATGTCCGCCTGCGTCATTGCCCGTCGTCGCGTCTGCCTGCGTGTTCGGCTCGTCCGAACCGGTGTTACCGCTCGCCCAAGCGCTCTCACGCGCATCGCCTGCACAGCCACTGCTCCCGTTGACATTGCGGCTGCACGCGCATGGGTTGGCCCCGCCGGCCCTCGTCTTCACGGTTGTGTGCGTGGACACGCCACGTTTTCCCATCGCATCGTCTAGAGGGTCGCCGGCCAGCCGCGCCATGCCAAGGCTTAACTCACCGAGCCGGTTCCCTCTTGCATTTGCCCATGTTTGGAGGACGAGTGGGGTACAGCGTCGTGCCTAACTTGCACTGGGCGGTAGTACGATGTTGGGCGCCAATTTAAGCTTTCGCCGTCGCCGTCGACACCATTAAGCCGAACGCCGTCGCAACCTCAAATTGGTCGTGTGCAGTCCATCCCTTTCCAATTCATCGTGCGCCCAAATAGCTAGAGTAGTTAGCTT